CCTGACAGACAGCAGCAACCTGACAGAGATACACACACACACACACCGCTGCAGCTGATGCATGTTTGTGCAGAAATACACTGAGGGAAGACCTTTGAAAAGGCTTCAAATATTTACAATAACTTGAGGTGCACTTTGTGTAGAACTGGTTTCCCTTAAATGTCGTGTTTTCACATGAAATTTTAAAAGAGGCCAGATCAACTGCTAGGTGGTATTCCATATTTTCACAATGTTGTTTCACTGGGCATTTTCCACTTCCTATTATGTATTATTTACATGCATTGTTTTAAGGCATATATACTCTATACCTCCTGGGACAAGACTGTAAAGAATTTACAATAGAAATAGTAGGGGGGGGTTGGCATGACTTGGACTGAAAGTAGGGCTGAAACAATCAAATAATTAACTGATTATTTGATCAAAAGAAATCACCAATTACTCTTATTTATCAAGCACAAATGACAAAAGGTTGCTTGCTTCCTGCTTATCAAATATGTGGTTTTGCTGCTTTTCTCGGTTTCATATTATTGTAAATTGAATATCTTTGTGTTTTGGACTTTTAGTCTGACTAAATGCAATTTAAAACATCAGGGCTGTGACACACTGCCAGGAACCTCCTGGCTGTTCCTAAGGCAAGCTTAAGGGCTAAAGGGGACAGAGCTTTTTCTGTCAGGGAACCATTACTATGGGATGACCCGCCCGAAAAGACTTTCCAAATCAATATCTTCTTTTAAGTTGTTCCTGAAAGCTTACTTTTATTGTCAAGTGCTCTTGTGATTGTAGTTTAATCCGGCAAATGTGCATGTGTTTGGATGTGTATGTATAAAAGTATATGTTTAATGTGTGTGTGTGTACATGTAAAATGTGTACTGGTATCCTATTTTGTCTTTTGTTTTTTGTTTACTGAATTGCTTCTTGTTCTGACTTACCTTTTTCAAGTTCAGCACTTGAACTTGACACCAGTGGCACTGACCTGCCTTTTTATCCTAGACTTTACTTGACTGCAGAATATGCACTTAAACAGAGACCTCTATAAGATGAGTGTCAAAGGGATTATGAAAACAACATATGAAACTAATGACATTACTTTTGTGACTAAAAATGACTTCTGTAAAAAATACTTTTTTAAAGGATGAGTCATCCCATCAGCAGCCTGCTGTGGTCGGTTGACAAAAGTGTATATTTGTTGAAGTGTACTCACTGCACACACGCACTTAATTTAGCGTTTAAGAGAGGATATCGGTTTGGGTGCTTCTGGAGACACCACGGGCCTATTTCAATTTAGCATCTGCGAGAGGAGCAGACCACACGATGTCCTCAATGACAAACCCACACGCACATTCAGTACTCTTTAGATGAGGAGGGGGGTGGCTGCTGCTTCCTGTCCAATAACGGTCAAGTAGATCATAAGTGCCTGATGCCTTCAACTGTAAAGTGTGATCAAACAGGAAATATACTTGTATAAGATAATTTTGCAACACTGTCAGCTCTAACCACACCCACAGATTTGTGTACTTCTATAGCCACTCTCCTGCTGCTACTTGTGCTAGTGGTGATGTTGTAATGGTAAAAATGTTTGATGGCTGAGATATGATGATGTGTGTGTGCCTGTGTGTGTGTACACACTCAAGCGCAACAACTGTATGGCCACAGTACTGAACAGACTCATCTATGTCCAACAGGAAAGACAAAAAAATTTGTGAGACAGATGGCAGATGAGACAGGAACCATTTTATGAGGCAGATATACAGCACCCTCATCTTTACAGAGCCTTTCAAAAATACAGTTTCCTCATTATCCAGAACAGAGGAAGAAAATGGCTGATCCTGAAACAATTATTGTTATACTGCTGTCATGTTATTTGCCACAACCCAAAATCTTTGGCTGTTTTTTTTTTTTTTTTTTTTATTTTGTATGGATTAGAGCTAAAACTTATCTGGATCAGGTTAGTTCTCACATTTAGTCAAAGCTTTCACACAAGCAAAGAAAGATAAAAAGCATTCTTGTTTCAAGATCCAGCCTAGTTATGCATGTTATTATTGCTATTGGTAAAGATGACATCAAGGAGCCAAACTTGATTTAATCACAGGCTACACACTTTGAAAATGTGGACTCTAGGTAAGAAAAACTCTTATGTGGGTTACTATAAGGCATCTATGGAAAATATTATTCTGAGTCCTTTCTGGGTGCCGTAAATTCTGTTTTTATTTGACTGATTAATCGGAAAAGCGAGAGAGATTTCTTGCAGTGTGTACACATACATGCAGTTTTGACTTCAGAAAACAGTAAGCTAATGCATTCTTCTTTTTTTATGACTTCACAATCAACTGCATTTGCACGTAAAGTACAAACAAGCACGAACAAACCGCAGTCTTTTTACTATTCATACTGATTAACAAACACAGCTATACCTTATGTGTAGAAAATCAGACATTAGAATTAGGGCACCTTGAGCTGTAGACACATACTTTCAATTAAACATATGGCTGCTGACAGATTTAATGGTTGCAACAAGAATCAAACTTTTGTTCCTTCATTAAAAGAGAACACAGACCACATTACAACATCAAAACAAACATTACTGCTTCATAATCATCAGTCATTCAGCTTTTGCCAACATTATTTGAAAAGCTAATTTAATCTTCAAGCCTCACAATTCAGCTCTGAATCGGACCTATTCTATAGATGGATATTGACTCATTACCACAGAGCTTGCAGCTCAGCTGTCACTATTCATCTTCAACACTTGATTTGACAAACCCGCCTTTAGGCAGTTCTGGCCTATATGTTCTATAAACAGCTAACATCACTGATGACACACAACAGTCAGTATATGCGCCAATGCAATCTGACCGTGGCTAAGGATAGGAGGAAGTTGTTTATCACGCTAGAATGTGCCTTAAAATGAACAAATACAGACTGAATTCACTACATAAATCTGTAACTAGAGCACATATGTAGATAATGTATTCACAAGTTAACATCACCCTCTGCACAAACAAGCAAAAGCTGCAGTTTTAAAAGTACAAGCAACTTGCCCCCATAATTCCTCATTCCTCATCACTTGCCTTTAAGCACTTTATGAAGCTAATTTCATTTTATGCATGCCGGCTTCACGGGAGAGACAATATTCTTCAGGGTCAGTAAGCACTGTACATGCTGAACATGTTACAGGGCATTTCATTACGTAACCATTTAAATGAACTGCATCCTTTTATATATGCTACACACTCGAATGCAATCAATGGGTGAAAACAATAGATGGGTAGTTGGCTCCATTGATCGCCTCCCGTGGCTCTGGCCTAGAAAGTTTACCCAAAGCATCATGGGGATTGACGTGTGCCAACAATGCAACCCAACCACACATCCCTATCAATAGCTGCACATAATTAACAGCGTGCCCTTTGCACAAACTGTTAGTTTGTTCAATATGGTCTCACTTAGTTCCGAAAAGTTAGGGAGGAAGTCAGCCCAACACTGTGCTGCTGTCGCTCCCCTAGCCTGTTTCACTGCAATCTCAGCACTTTTCTCATTAATCAATTCTTTACTCGTCTATTCCAAAAGAGACATTTTAGAAATCGCAAGTCTGCAATATGTTCTGCAACCTGCACCCCCCTGCCCTGTTGGAAATCCTCCTAAAATTAAGAAATGCTAAGTGTGCATTATCCTGTGTGACCTCTTTTTTTTTGGGGGGGGGGGTCTTTACCTTTCTTTGCAGACATGTGTTGCACCAATAAGTTGTAGGAGCGGCCCGGAGTGTGTTCTTAATCTCTTTATCCCTGCAACTCAGTGCTGCTTACTGTCCAATTCACCACCGCAAGGATCTCTTTAAGCATCTGCCAAAAAGTTAATCACCCTTTTCCAATCCCCTCCTGTGCATTCACTTCATCACCGTAATATTTGTTGTCCATGACAGGCATTGTGTGAATTCTTGAGGGCTGACTGTCTTACCGTAACGTTGTTATTGGTATTCTCTTAAGCCTGTATTGCAGCATCACATTGCTCTACACACAGGATCACACCTGAGATACAAGGCTTGTCATTATAAAAACAATGGATAACTTCCTCTCTCACCTGACAGTATGTCAAACCTACTGCTGTGTACCTACTACTGTGATATCCAAGGGGTGCGGTATAGTGAAAACACAGGCCATTAGTAATGCTTGTTTAGCATCTGGCTGGTAAAACTGACATGGCCTCATGTGTAAATACCACGTTATGGGTCAAGAAAGTGAACAACAACTTTTAATTTTGAACAGCCTGAACAGGAAGTTAAAACGAAAACCACATGTCCACACTCTGTAAGGGCAGAGGTTCTTCATCGTGTTATTACTGCTATCTAAAGGTTAGTTAATAACGTTATTTCATCACAGCATTGTAAGTTTTACACAGCACAAGTAATACACATTCACTTCAAGTGTGTCTGTGGTAAACAAGGAGTATATAGCAACGTTAACTCACTGGGTAGCATTTTTTATTTTCTGGCAAGCCACTGTATTTCAAGTTTGCAGCCACTTCTAATAACGTCAACAGTAAATAGTTGAATGGTGCCATACGTTACACCCTTACGTTGAGCAACACACACACACACACACACACACACACACACACACACACACACACACACACACACACACCCCGTTCACATTACAAGTCACGACATTAAAAAAATAAAAAATATAACAGTCCACAGCAGCAGCAGCGTTGTTACAATTTATCTTAACTGAGAGAAACCCAGTCATCATCACAGAAATCACTTCCACCATCTCGGCTGAGCCCACATTATAGGCTCCAAAAGCGGGGGAGGCTTAAGCTTCACATCCAGCTAACACACACACACACACACACACACACACACACACACACACACACACACACACACACACACACACTTTTACTGATCACAACCAAGTAATTCCCGCGGCTGCAACGTTTTCGGGGTCCAAATAAGGAGTACGGGGGGGGTGAAAAAAAACAAAACAAGGGACGTTTTTACTCACCGAAAAAACGTCAACGTCCGTGGCAGCCATGGTGCGGGATGTATGGTGTTGCTGTGCTGGGGCAGACTGAGCAGAGGCGAAAGGGAGCAGCCCTCGTCTCTCCGTACTAGCCTGCTAAACTACTGAGCCGAGCTGTGACAGAGATAGGAAGAGAGGGACACAAGACGGAGAGGAGCTAACGTTAGTTAACTGGGCAAGGGAAGGCTTGCTAGCTAGGCGACAAGAGCATTCACTCCTGCTTCGCTACTGTTTCGCTCACTCGGGGCTAAGCTAGCTCAACTAACGTATGTAGCACGAGACTGTGGGCTTTGGAGATACTCCTGTTAAGCGCATGCGTACGGATGTTATACATTTAATTCAAACAAACGATTTTTCTTAAAATGTACTTATGTATTAATTAATTAATTAATAAAAATGCTTGCCAAAGATATATCAATATATTCTGAGGTCGGAGTAGCAACGGCGCCGCTCCAGGCAATGTAATGGTTAACGTTTTCTACGTTACGTTTAAAGTGGGACGTGAACTATCTTGACGTCCAGGTTGCATCTTTGGCTCGGGACAGATACGTTCCAATATGGCCACTTTCGGGAACTCCCATTCAGTCCAGGAATGTCATGCTGCACATATTACAAGTCAGGACAAGAGTGAGCAGTACCACAGCGACAGAGAGAGGGGGGGGGGACAGAAATATGTGTGTCAGCTCATGGGTTGAGTGTAGCCAACCGTGGAAGTGTTTTTCCCAATGGGACATTAATATTTAAATGAATTAATGAGATAGATTGGTTTTACTAGGATGTAACTCAGCCAATCAGAGCAAGCCATCTGATGATGTTGCAATATTGTGTCTGATTTACTGTGCGTGTGTGTGTGTGTGTGTGTGTGTGTGTGTGTGTGTGTGTGTGTGTGTGTGTGTGTGTGTGGTGTTGTTTGAACGTGCTTTGATGCCCTGGGGACTGGTACTTTTTGCAGTTTTATGCTGGCATCCAGTTTACATGAAACATTTATAAACTTTCTGTGTGTGTGTGTCTCAGGCCAACCTAATACTGGATTTTGAAGGTCATATTGATATTTTAGAGTTTGGTGGTTCATGATCGACCCAACAAACGTTTTATACAATCCTTAAATATATAGGAATTAAAGTTTGTAGTTCATTCATACTTACACACACACACACACACACAGAGAGAAAAAGATAATAAAACTAACAGAAAAACATAAAAGATCAAATAGAATACAATAAATAACATATTAAAATAAAATGATATTAATAGTGATCATAATATAATTGGAACAGGACATTTTAAACACATTTTGCATGTCTTTCTTCTTTGTGTGTGTGTGTGTGTGTGTGTCTTATCCAAAATTATATCTTATTTAAATCTGCTTGGTTTTACTCTCAATGGGAATGAGAGTTATAGTTTTTATTTCTTTTAAAAGTTAAAAAAAAAAAAAAAAAAACAGCCAGAATTACTGATTTTCTTTTTGTTTTTTACTTTTATTCTGAAAACAAACAAATTGTGGCCTTAATGTTTTCGGATGAAAAGTCCTAGCCACTTTGCCTATGGGGAAAACATCTGCATATATTATTCAAATTGCATCGACGTCTGCGCTCTCCCCGGAAAGAGACTCCTCCAGGTGGGGAGGAGAGAAGAGAGCGGCCAGGTGAAGGCTAGTGTACCGTCACCAGGACAAAGGTGTAACTGGATACAGCCGGGCGGTTGGAAGCTAACAAGTTTTAACTTTAATTAACAGCTTTCACAATGTCTTTGACCCAGGAATCCGTCCTGTTCCTGCTGATAGCGGAGGGGGGCAAAGTGAAGAAATCCGACTTAGTGGGTAAGTTCAAGGGTTCAATAGACTGCAACGATCCCGCACAGAAAGAACGGAACAGGGAGCTTTTCAAGACTTTTGTCAACAACGTCGCCTTTGTTAAAGAAATCGACGGTGTCCGGTACGTTGTCGTCAAGAAAATGTATCAGCATTTGCTGGACGGGGTCCACCCTGCGGAAAAGACTGATAACAAAGAGATCCCACTGACAGGTGAGCAGCAGCGCCCACCTGCGCGGAGGGAGGAGACTGACGATGCAGGAGGGGAGAGATCAGCTGTTTCTGAGCCTGATAGAGAACAGGCAAGCAGTGAAAGCAGTGAAAACCCTGCAGAGTCACTTTCCCTCATACAGCTGGCACTGCAAAGGAGCAAATCTATGGATGTGAAAGTTAAAAGAATGCTGAATTTTGAGATCCAAAGGCAGGACACGCAGGGGGATACCAGCCCGAGAAGGGGCGCAGTAAATGAGCCCACCGGCCACCAGAGCAAACCTTACGCCTTACCTCTGAGAATGCCGCCCAGCGCCACCAAAGTCGAGACCCGTAAACTTAAAGGGGACCCAGATGACCTCCCTGGAAGCCCCAAACCAGACGCCTTCAGGAACAAGAGAAGCAGCAGCATCAGCTCCCCCCAACTGGGGAGGCCAGTGAAGAGCACCAAGGCGACAGAGGAGCCAAAAGAGACGAGGTTGCCCTCCTTGGTTCCCCTGGAGCAGTCGGAGCATGAATGGCTGGTCAAGTGTGCCGCTGGCAAGTGGAGCCAGGTTTACGGCCTGTTGCTGAGAGACAACCAGCTGGCTGAGAAGAGGGACTTCATGTCAGGGTTCACCGCCCTGCACTGGGCAGCCAAATGTGGAAACAGAGAAATGCTCGTGAAGATTATCGACCTATCCAAAAAAGGAGGGGTTGACGTTGACATTAATGCAAAAACGCACGGCGGGTACACTCCTTTACACATCGCCGCCCTGCACAACCAGGAGTACATCATGGCCATGCTGGTGGGGGAGTACAGGGCCGATCCAAGCATCAGGGACAACTGCGGGAAAAGGGCCTACCACTATCTGCACAAAGGCACTTCTGGGATGATGAGAGAGATGCTGGGTGAACCCAAGGCCCAGCCGGTTCAGGAAAGGGCCCAGGAGAGGGCCCTGCATGAGAAAGAAGAGCTGGACCTGCTACCGGATCTCTCCAAGAGCCTGCATTCGATAAGCCGTCTCTTCCAGCCCCATGTGACGGGCCTCAAGAAGAAGCACAAGCAGAGACCAGGATTTTACTCTGTGGGCGAAGACCCCAGCGAGGAACGGGAAGACAACAACAGCAGCAGCAGCAGACCCAGACTGGCATCAGATGTTTTTAACTCAAACTAAACTCAGAACTCTTCTTCAACAATGAGAAAAAAAGTCCCTCCTGTTTTTATGTTTTCTGACATTCATATTTGGCAGATGACATAAAAGATTGAATTCTTATCAGATGTGATATGCAGAGTTTGAGTGTGTGGGGTCAAAGGAGATTGATTGATTCTGAGATAAGAGACGGAGCGTTTCAGATGTTTGCAGGTGTGAATAAAACATGATTCAGAAGATTTTCCGGCAGGTCTTGTGACTCGTCCTGTTACTCACTGTCTGTGGCTTCATCAGTCTGTCTCTCTGCAGTTCACCTTCAGGGGAACTCGACACTGAGCTTAACAATATTACTGAAACATTGTTTATTTAGATTCCATGTATGTTTAATCACTGGTTTGTTATGAATTCCTGTTTTGTTTTTTTTTCTAAATGAAAAATCATTTTTATTTTCCATTTGCATTTCAGTTTTTAAAAAAAAAACTGTACCTAGCACTTAAACCAGTACGGTAGCTGCACAGATGTCATATATTCCCATTAACTGTGATTTTAAATGAACTGTACACCATGACATAAGGAATAAATCAGACTCTACACTACTTGTTTTTACAAAGTTTGCACACACCCAAAACTTGATTTCTAAATGTCTGTTCTCTTTTAAAAATGTCCCTTTTAAATCCCCTTTAGTCAAAATGAATCAATACTAATAGGAAATCAATGTCTGCCATTGATTTACTGTTACTCTCAGTTACTTAGATTTGACTTGTGTTCCTCTGTCTTTTCACCTCTGAGTAAGACGTGAAGTGGTCATCCTCTCGACTTCCAGGGGCAGACAAACTAAAAACCGAGGATGTGCTTGCCGACTTATGGGTGAATTAAACTTAAATAAATAAAACCAAAACTTTGAAGAAATGTTTCTGCCTCCGAGGAGGATTTAGAGAACTTGCCTCTTCATCATCGCTCCACTTTGTAAGAGATTAATTATTAAACACTGTGAAGCATTTAGGAGAAGCAAATATCCCACTAAAATGCCCTGGAAGAAAGCAAACACTGGATTACAATTATTAGAAAAGATAAAGGGTGTGTCATTCACAAAGGAGTGTGCAGGTGCTCTATAAATCATTACAATCCCTCTGCGTGCCAAAACCTCTCTGAATTGTGGCTCTGGTCCATCTTCTGGCTTGTTGAGACAGCTGTGGTTCAGCCAGATACGCAGTTGACTAGGAATGTCTGTGCTTGCATGTGTGTGGCTGAAAGTAGTGTGTTAATGGCATCATCGGCCCCCCGGCGACCTGAAGACAACAGATGTTAAAAAGAGTATAATAAAAGTAAAGTTGTGATTATTTCAAGATGAATTGTACAGTTGTTACTTGTTTGAGTGGTAAAAGAATCATGAGTAAAAGAGGAAGAAGTGTGAAGAAATGTCTCATTCTCCTACTGTCCCCCGCCTCGAGTCGTCGCCCTCTGTCTCACGATGTCACTTCCCCAGCAGCATTCATTATCTGTACGTCAACGATGACGATGTTTCATTTCAGAGCCTCTGGGTTTTATTTAGCACATGTTCTTTTCTGCTGCTGCTGTGAGGGGAAAGGCCAGCACAAGGTCAGGAACAAGCAAAACAAGAGCACTCGCTTTAGATTAAAAAAAAAGAAACTGCAAGAGCATAATGTTGAATTTTTGTTATTAAAGGAAACCGCTTGTTTGAAAAATGAAAATGTGAGTGGTACACTGCAGTGCTAATAGTAGAGATACTTGTTTTGAAATTGGTACTTGTTTATTAGTCTCTTTGAGTTAGAACTGGCAATGAAGGTTAACCAAACAAAATTTTTTTCTCACTACCACAATAATATGCAGTATCAGACAAATGCAGGTGTAAAATAATAGTTCCCTTATTCACTTTCTTGCCAATAGATCAATGAGAAGATCAATACCACTCTCATGTCTGTGCATTAAGTATGGACCTGGACCCGGGGGCAATTAGCCTAGCTTAGCTTAAAGACTGGAAGTAAAGGGAAACAGCTAGCATGCCTCCCAGCACCTCTAGAACCATGACGTTGCCAGGCAACCGGCAGACTTTGTT